CCTATACAGCTTGGAGTAAGACAACATGCATGAAGAGGATGATGTGGACAAAATACTCATTTGCCTAATAATTCTGTACGCCCTGTATACAGTTTTATTTAGCAACCAAGGGGTCACTGACCGGTCAATAGGTCTGTGTGAATGGGAAATTTACAATTAATTTCACAATGATTGTTAGCAACTCCTAGCAACCACTCATAACCGGTCAGGGAATACACAGTTTTCCTTAATGAATGGATGGTTGCTAACTGGCCTCTAGCCCTGTATTAATGGGGCATGGGCAGGGAAGGATCGAGTCCCTGACAAATGTAGAAACATAAAGGAACAAGCCATCAGGAGTTTGTTTTTACTCTTCCCAGTAACTCAATGTAAACGATGTTTAACCATATTTAATGTTTAATTTGACACAATTTTGAAGGATTTAGAATTCGGTGCTTTTATGGAGGAGAAGAAAAATGACAAAAATATCTTGTCTAGATCTGCACATGTTCTCAGCTGAAGGACTTTGCTCAGTTGTCAAGGAGAGTTAATACTTGTCATCTCAGCTGAGCAACCTAGAGCTAGAGATGGCCATAAAGGCTAAAAGCTCCTGAAAAGAAAAACATTAAGTGGACCTTTTTATTTAGTCAGGGTTAATAATGGTAGAAATTGGCAACATCACTTGCTTTCATCCTTACTAAATATCACAAGAACTGCACAAGGATGAATAATGAGCAAGAATTTGGGTCTATTGTGTTGAGAAGTTGAGAGTGATGGGAAATTGCCCTTTCCCAGACTCTCAAAGCCAGTGGCCTGATGTTGCATGAACCTCATCTAAAATAGGGCAATGATTTCTTACCCTGCTCTTCGCCCTGTTGTTTGCTTGGATCTCCTCCTAAAAAAATATGTTTAGTTTCTTTTTCTTTAGTTTTTTTGAGAAAACCTGCATTAAAAAAGGGATGATATTTCAACACACATCGACATTCATGAATACACATCATTCCAGAGACAAGCCAATACCCCTGTTACTGTCTGCTTTTGTAAAATTAAACAGAATTGCAGTCTGAGTGTTTCTTGAGAAAAATGCTTGTACATTTTGTTTTTTTTACTTGGTGCCCCGCGGCTTAAAGATTACAAGGTTACACCAGAATAACTGTAGATAAGAATTAGTAAATTATATATGTACATTCCTGTGTCCCATTTTCTCTGCAGCAACCACCATTGTGGAAGCGGGCAAAGACAAGAAGAACCCCGATGACTTTGCCGAGGCACTGGATTCAGTTCTGGGGGATTTTGCATTCCCTGATGTTTTTTTGTTTGATGTATGGGGAGCTATTGGAGATGTCAAAAATGGCAGAATCTAGATGTTTGTTGTACACATATGAGAGAAGAAGAGCTCTGTTCTCTGGTATATCAAGCTGCAAAAAGGTAAAACGTAGAAGTGCGTATATATTGCCTTCCAGTCCCTATATTCATTTTGAATCACTTGCAATCATGGCCGCACTGTGATATTGTTTGAGAAATGGAATGTTGCTAATTTGTGCATAACAGATTCTTAATGTTCTACTAAACTGGACTGTCAAATCTTTACAAGAAATACAATGCACAGTAATCTGCAGAGTAGTTTTTAATGCATTTGGCTAAATGAATAATCAGAAATTACTAATTCATCATCATTAGAAAGCTGTGATTGAATGTTTAATTAAAAAGAGATGCATTTAATAGAGGTCTTGACGTCTGCCACCAGCGTGCAACAGTATGTTATGAAACTGCAAGAGTTGGAATCAGCTGAGGAATCCACAAAAAGCGGTTAGCACCAGTAAGTCTGTTTCACATTGAAAGGAATTGCTGCGAAAACAGGAAAGAAACATTTACAGGACATTCAATCTTTCTCTCAGTTAACAACAACTTATATAAGGTAAATAAAAATGTGTGTTTTGGATTTTACCAAGTGTTCCAGAAAAAGGCATTGCAGCTTTAAATATTCTCAGTCTTGCAGTAGATGACTGACCTGACTTGAACTTACAAAAAAAAAGTAAAATAAAATAAAATAAAAAATAATCAAAGCTGTCATCTAAAAACTGAATACCAGGGGAGCAATCTAAATGTTCCTGCTCTGCAATACCTGTAGATTCCCACATGTGGAAACTGCTGTCAAACTCCATATTCGAACCATAAGCACCCACAGTCAAAAAGAAATCCAAAAAATATTTTGGTGGATTCTTGTGCTTGTATGTAAACTCTTACTCTTAGTTTTCCTTAAAAATTGGAAAGAATTTCTTGTGGTTGTTGAGAAAAGGAAAATGTTACATATTCACTTTAACATTGTACCATGTTTCACTGAGGGAGCCTTCAGTCTGTTTAAAAAAAGAGAGAGAGCAAATATACTATAGCAGTTTGTTGCAGCATTTCATTATCACTGCTCTTAGTTTCAGTGTGTAGATCTCGCTTTGTGTTTCTGCATTGGTTAGTATATCCAGTAAAAAAAAAAAGGAAGCATTAACTTAACACTGGAGTGGCATATTTTTTCTGCCTTACCATTTTGCATACAAGTAAAAACCGAATGGCTAAATTTAAATAGTTTGACCTATTACATGGTTTGAGCAATATCAGTACTCTTCTTTGTGTTGCCACTTGACTGCATTTCTGTATGGGAAGTAAAATGGTTAAATATTTAACAGCAACAAATATTTCTGTTTTATTGAGCCTTTATTTACGTGAACAATCAACATTTACTCCTCACTGTCATGGGAGAACTTTTATGGGATAAAAAATAACTGTTGTGGAAGACTGGTTGAGTTGAGTGACGTTACAGCGTGCATTACTTTATGTGCATGATGAGTGTAAAAATTGCTCTCTTCACAAAAAATATTCTCAAATATTCTCAATATTCTCCACATCAACTTTAAAGCTTAGCCTTGAGATCTCAAAGAGGCAGAAGATTTTATAACAATCAAAATAAAATACAATAACGTTCTCCAAATTTAAACTCTAGACAGTGTACTTGTTTAGGTTATCTAATTGTAGTTTATCTAGATGTTTAGGATGCACTGTAATTCCTCCACGAACTGAGTCCTGCTTTTTAAAGGGTGAGTTCATTCAAATTATAAGTCTTCACACATGCATTTTCAAACTTACTCCCACTTACACTTAACCATACTTCGGCACAATACATCATTTTTAATTAACACCTTCCATTCAGTTGAGCAGCACTTGTGCATTTTAATGGATGGTATACCAAAATAAAACAAATTTATATCTAAGTGACTACATACCAGTATTTGTTAAGGACAATAAAGAGATGATTTCTGGAGATCATGAAAACGACATACCAGTTATCAGTAAAATTTTCAACTTATAATGAAGTTACCATCTTTTGATCCCTCATTTCTTCACATTTTCCCAATACTAACGTTCAAACACATTGGAATTGCTAACACACTGTTTTCACTGCACATATTCTAGATAAATATACAGGAATGAAAGGTGGGTCAAGACTTTTGATATTTGTAATAATCCATCTTTTTTCGTCTTGTAAACATCCTTCAGCCCATATGTAACAGACAACCTTGAAACAGAATATCTCACTCAGTAAAAAAACAATGAAGTTAAATGCAAGAAACTGATCGTTTAACATTTTTCAATCTTTTATAGGTTTTCAGAGTTTGTGACATGTTCAGTCAGAGTAACTATTAGCAAATGTATGTGAATATAGTATAATATGATATTTCTTGTTAACAATACGCACTTCTACAATATTACAGTTTCTATATTTCAGGTTCATGGGACTAGGCTGCCTGTGGGTTTCCTCCTAAAATGGTTAGCACAACATCAGGTCTAAGCATGCATCAAACAAAGACAAAACAAGATAATTTATCCTATTTAATGGTACATTAAATACGGTTAACTTAATGCAGCAGTATATCTAGGTAGCAGTGCATATAGTTAACTTCAGTGCGATGTATGGAGCTGAGAGTACATGTCTGATCCCTGTGATCACTCATTTCTGATCAGAGAAACAAACACACACTGTACCATGAGCCTTAGTCAGGTGACTTTAAGGTAGACGGAGAAGTGACATTTGACTTTGTTGTTTCTCCTGTTTCATCTGAGCCCAGGTTGCCCCCTAATGAAGATCGTGTGAATCTGCGTGCAGTCTCTTGAAAATATGGGTACAAAGTCATGATTGAGCTCCGGGACCAGTCAAAGCGGGGGTAGACTCTCTTAAAGACTGCCCTCCGGAACAGGATATAAACCCATGGGTCGAGGATCTGGTTGCAGGTGGCAAAGCGGAGGTACAGCAGCAGTTTCCTGACCCAGAGAGGATCGCTGGAGAACACTGTTTGAGCAATAAAGACCTGGATGTGGAGGAATAATATAGGGACAGACAGAGAAAAGCAGAAGTAAAGAGAAGCATGAAGGAGGAAGCAGTTGACGGGGGAGAAGATGGTAAAGAAAGGAAATAAGAAATAGCAAAAGGAAGAGATTGGAAAAAGCGAATAAGAGAAGGGAGATCAAATAGGTTAATATTGCAGATCCACACAAGCATTCACTATAAGTTGTGTCTAGTTTAAAAAGAAAGGCTAGGGTAATTTTGTCATGGTGTCCCTGAGGCAGTGGCTGCTGTAACATAGCCTAATTACCCATTACCCAATTACCCACATTTCATGTGAGGCACAGCATTATTAGCATTACCCCAACTGTCTCCAGAAGGGGGAAAACATGCTAACAAGCTCCTGCAGGAATTAAAAACTGGCCTAGTGTTGCTTATAGTTTCTTTTCAAAATTTAGCTCGTGTCACAGTTCTGTTCTCCTGAGTTTTTGCATCCAAGCAATGCAAGAGACCATGCAAGATGAAGCGTTTTTGTGAGGCAAATGCCTCTCAGTGGTATTGGTACTCCATGGGCTCATGTTTTGCAGAGTGCCAGTTAACATTGGCTTATTTTCATTTTCAAAAACAAAGAAGAAAACTGACATTAAGAATAATAATTTCATATAGGCTCAACTGCAGATAACTGCTTGATTGCATTTGTCCAGTTCGCAGTACTTCCAGGATTTCTGCAGCTATACTCCAAAGGAAAAAAAATATTAGAAACTAAATGAAACGAAAATCTGCAAAACGAAAAGCTACCATGTTTCTGATGACAGAACATACGTGTGTTAATTTTTCCAAATTAAAGAACGTGCAAGGCCAAAAAACAAGCATGATGAGAAGTTTAATGGCTATTAACTGGAGAAAGAATGGAACGAAACTTTGAGCATATAAGTATTGGTTTGGAAGCGGCAGTGCGTGAAGTGGACTGATGAGTACAAATCTGTCATTTGGAGATGTTTAGGGCACGTGACCAACTAATTGGCAAAAATACGGTGCCATGGGGGTGAGCGGTGATGGCGGATGAGCAGAGTTAGATTTTCGTTTCACGTTTTACTCGCCTTAGTGGGGACACTTGAAACATGATGTAAATCCATGGGTCTAAAATCTGATTGCAGGTGGCCATTCGTATGCCGAACAAAACCACATTAGCATCAGGAACTTCAGAAGTCTTCATGCACACCAAAATGTATATCTGTACAAGGTATCACACAACTAATGTTAGACCAGACTGCAGAAAAATGTGTGCTCCATTCAGGGACTTTAGTCTTTATTATTTTGTTCTCTGGCAAACTCAGTTAAAAAAACGAAGTAGTTGATTTATTTTTTTTAACTATACATAGGAAAGCAAAAGTGTAAAGAGCTGAATTATGCAATAAGTGATTCCTATTAGAAGTATAAAAATGATAGGTAGATAATGCAAGATAGGCTGAACGTAACTGAAATTGTCTAATTTTTATACAAATTAAAAATGCATCAGCATCTCATCAATATCTATAAATAACACCTCCCATAGAAGGTCTGGGTTTTATTTTGAGTCTTGGTTGCCACACTGGAACTTTCTGGACTTTTTCAGTGCTGTTTGACATTGTACTAGATGTTTTCCTTTAAAGGCTCTGCTTCACTCTTGAGTTGAAATATGTCATCTCAAGTGGGGCATTAAGGGGCTCTTTGATCCAGTGTAAGTACAGACGGTTTTCAGATCAGCTAGTAAATAGGCTGCATCACTAAGAAGAACTGAAGCATACACAGAGGAGCAGAGAAAAGGAGCTTAGGACCTTGTGATGCCTCATTAAGGTTCAAACATTTTAAAAGAAGCGCTGGTAACAAAAAACTAGATAGTTAAGGTCATGGCGCGGTGCTTTCAAACATATGAAAACCATTTCCCACACAACAGCAGGTGGACACAGTAAAAGTAAGTGTGTCACCTTGCAGTATCTTGAAGATATTAATTTCCTATCACAACCTCATGATTAATGTTTAGTGAGCAGTCTTTATAAATGTTTAGCCCGTCAGGCTACTTTTGTTTTTTATATATATATTCTGAGTATTTCTTCGATCATGAAAAAATAGAAAATTTATTGTCAAGAAACACAAACCTAGCCTAAAAGAAGGTAAAAACAAGAGAGATCTTCCCCTTCTGTCTACAAGAGAAGGCAGTGAAATCTTCCATTGGTCTTATGATCACACAACACACACATAGACCAGACTGCAATTATGGAGTTCAACACACTGTTACACTGGTTGAAAAAGGGCCAGATGTTTCTGTGGAGGGCAGTGACTGTTGTACAAGACCAGAGTGCTCCATTTATCCTGCAACATCATATCAGTTCACTCTCTGGGTCATCAGATAAATTGTTTCTTTCATATGAGGATTAGATTTGAAAAAGCTGCTACAAATAAAACATTTCTTGACCAAAGACAGCTACTTTATAGAAAGTTAATATGAAGAGACAGGGGTGTACTAGTATTTGTTCAAGCACTTAATGTATACACAGTGTTATGTAACAACTCTTCCTATAACAGAAAGCTTACGTAAATTAGTCAAAGAATCAGATGTTAGATTCATAAATAATTTGTCTGGCCCTTCAGTCTGATCTCCATTTCTGCTTGTCTGGAAATCTCCTTGGCTACATGTGCTTGACACTGAATTGCTCTACCTGAAAGTGTTATCTCTTTCTTTCCGGCTCTCTCTCTGACTCCCTCACCTCTTCTCTGGTGTTGTAGAATAAAACAGGAATTAGCCGACTGACTAGTCATTTCCAGTGTCATTTCCAAGCATGGAATTGACATTGCTCGTTAATTATTATTTGTAGACTAATTGAATGTTATTGTCCAGTAAAATGCCAGCGTGCTATATAATTGAAAAAGATACAAAAAGTATTTTTTTTATTAACAGAACAATATAGTACCTTAAATAAAAATAGAAAATTACACCCCATTATATTAGGAATTACAGTGTACATTGTGAACAAGAAAACAGCAGCATTAATGTGACTTTAATTATCATCAGTTATATTTTTACATAGTTTGCTGTTCCAGAACATGAGGTTTACTAACTATTAATGTTATAGACTGGAAAAATGATATAATTCCTCATGCTGTTTGAATAGATAAACAAATAAATAAGAGAAGTGCTAAGTGCCTAGCTTTACATGTTTTTAACTCACCAATTTAAATGTTATCATGGCTAAAAAAAATGTATAATTTTGCATGTGACTGACAGTTGGGTGCTGACGTAGGTAGCTGTAGTGGGTAGCTGTGTGCTAGGCTTCACCTCAACTGAACTGAGATACGGAACTGGATCTCTCACCTGTTTCTAAGAAGTAAGAAAGTTTAAAATAATAATAATTTTTTTAAAAATAATTCTTAGTAATCAGTTTAATAACAGAAAATGTCCTTGTTTTCCTGTTTTCAAAATAGTTTTTGTTTATTTACGCAATATGAAACAAATTCAGTTTTTTTTAAATTATAGCATAAAATCCTTTGTGTTTTATACTAAAATTAAAAATCAAGATTAAAAACAAAAAAATTAACAACAAGCAATACAAAAAACATATTTAGCCATTAATAATTTGTGTTCATGTAGGTTATTAGGCAATAAAGTAAATGGTGTGACACAAAAAAAATTGGGGCTGTCTGTGTCATGACTTATTGCTTACTGTTATTTATGCTATTTAAGAGTGAAATTGCTAAATTCGGTTCTGTATTACTAGTGTATTACGCATTAGTTATATTAATTGTCATTTTTGCCTTTTTTTTTGTCTATATACAACAACCTACCCAAAACCAACCAACTAACCAAAGAAACAAATAAACAAGCAACCAAACAAACAAACAAACTCACCAGGAGGGGGCACCAGCTGATAGAGGCAATAATCATGATCAAGATAAGTTGCACCATCATCTCGACTTCATGGTCTCGGCTCCGCTGTGTCCTGTCTTGTCCGCAGCACACCTTGATAAGCGTCACCACACTCACTGTGTTCAGTAAAAATGACACAACGATTGAAGTCAACCCCACGAAGGAGAAGAGCAGGGAGAAGACCATATCACTTCCTTTCGAACTGATGTTGAAAAAACACCAAGAACCAGGAGCCTGTATGTGGTAGCTCCCGATGCCTATTAAGGGCAGCAAAGCAATACAGCCAGCAGCCAACCATACCATCAGCACCATGTAGACTGTCCGGCTCTTGCTCATGTTGGTGGAGCGTGCAAATGGACGGTTAATGCCACAGAAGCGCTCCATGGCCATTGTGGCACTAAGCAGCAGTGGGCACAGTCCATAGAAGACCATAGACATACCCATGAAGTTGCAGAAGTGGCAGTTAGGATCTACTTGGCGCCAATTAAAACGTGTAAAATGGAAGGAGACCACAATGGAACCTGTGACCAAAAGACCCATAAAGTCAGTAACTACAAGACCGGCCAGGAAGATTAAGAAGAAAGACCGTGACCGATTCCGCATTCGTCGGAAAGATTTGACAAGAACAATGAAGGCAATGAGATTTGAGGTGATTCCCAAAGTGCTGAAGATGGTTGAGAAGTATGCTGAGCTGATGGGACGTGTGTAATTGAACGGAGGGCTTTTGAGGGAGTAACATTGTGGAGTGTTGTTGGCATCTGAGGTATTCATCGTGGCTAGCTGGTACACACTCGTTGACTTGAGGTGACTCTGAGATGAAAAGACAATACTAGTTAGAAGAGTACAAACAAAAAAATCAATCAATCAATCAAACAAACAAGCAAACAAACAAACAAACAAACAGAAAGTTAAAAAATTACATAAAAAATATAATACATTCATCCAAGCACCAAGATAATAGTAATTGAACAGCCACACAATACCCATTGCAGGGACACTACAATTATTACCAGAAGGATTTTATTTTTTTGACTACTACATATGTACATACATTTTGTGTCATTGTGTATTGCATGGTTAGCTTAGTTGTACCACCAGACAGTCAAATCCTATTGTTCTCGCATGCTGTGGCAGCACTACAACCTCATAGCACCAAGAGTTTGGCTTAAAATCCCTGAGTTTTCTAAGGAGTTTATATAGTGTGAGAAAGAACTGTCTCTGTATATTTTTATGAGTTTTTGCTGGTTGGGTCGACTCTTACAGTATAAACAAACTGAGCAAAGGTGACATAATCTGTCAGAAGAGGTGGACCGATGTTGTTGCACTTCAGATGTGGTGACGTCCAAGATAAAAAATGTGTTTACTCTAACACAGTTCTAAATGGCACATTCCCAACTCTTTATTTACATCGAGCATACTGCAACACATCATATTTCTAATCAGAGCACCTTTAATGGCTGAAGCCTATCTTATCATGCAAAAAAAGCAAAACACATTGAGGTGTCACAGTAGTTCAACAGTCAGTGGTTTAAAAAACCAATTCTGGTTAACGATCATTTCTTTGTTTTTATAATTTTTCATCATTTCATTGGTTGTTATGACATCAGTATTGTATTGCTACAACAGAGGCTGAAAATGCAATGAACAGTTCTATGGACGATTAAACACATAGCAAAGAAAGCTGACAGTGCGTCTGAATTATTAAAAACCCTTTATCTGGAGGTAAAATCATTGTTGCCAGATATCAGGGGATCCAATATTTTTAGTGTCGACAACACTGATTGCCTAAACTATGAAAATAAACCTTTAGAATGCAAAGTAACAGCTCAGACGCAGATGTACACAGCACCCACACAAACGCATGCAGACAGTGACAGTATGGGGCAGAGATGGAATGAGTGACAGAGAGACCGAAATAGACAGAGTGGGAGAGCTGGCATATCCTGCCAGGAAGTTCAGTTTGGTGGCACTAAAAGGAAATAAACATAGAATCAGACATAATCAGCTCTTGGTATTCTTTCCCCAGTAAAAAAAAAGAAGTCTGAGGATGGTAATATGGAAACAAATATCCATAGCTTTCATTAATCTAAATATTTGTTTCACAGCACATCACCAAGATACTGATTTCATCCTGTGTTAACTAAAGAAACTACAGCAACTGTAGGTTATTGCTTTAAGAAACAAATTTATATACAAAAACCTATGCAGTATGATCTAAGAGAAAGACTTCAATGAGAAACATATGCCTGTACTATACTCTATAAAATTATGCCTGTTCAGTAATGTGTTGTTACCTTACTTACAAACACCCCCAAAAATTGGGAAGTTGTAAAATGTAAATAAAAACAGAATCCAAAGATTTGCAAATCTAGTATACCAATATTTTATAGCAAATAGCAAATCTAAAACATACCAAATATTTAAACTGAGAACATTTAAAACTTTAGGTAAAAATATGAGCTGATTTTGAATCTAATGGCAGCAACATGTCTCAAAAGAAGTTGGGATGGGAAGAACAAAAAGTCGGAAAAGTAAGTGGACCTAAAAAAAGAACAGCCAAAGGAATGTTTTGCAGCTAATTAGGTTACTGGCAACAGATCAGTAACACGAATGGCTATAAAAAAAAACACATTTTAGAGAGGCAGAGGTTCACCAATCTGCAAAAAAAGAGAAGACAAAAGAAAAGAAGCAACTATGGAGCAACTTCAGAATATTGTTACTCAACATAATATTGCAAAGACTTTTTTTTGTCATGTCATGTTGCCATGTTGCATGTCCACAAATGCAGGTTAAAGCTCTGTCGTGCAAAAAAGAACCCATGTGTGAAGATGATAGAGAAATGTTCAAGGGTCAAAGGTAATTTAAAATGTACTAAACTGTTCTGTTGTCAGCTTATTTGAAATTTGAAATTCTTTTTTGTAAACATGGCCAGCGATTTCTCCGGACTTAAGAAGAAAGAGTAGTTCAAAAGCCTGGGGGTGAATTAGTGCCCATGAACTGACAGATTACTGATCTGGAAAGGCATCTTCAGCAATGAAAGACTTTTATTCACTTCATATCAGAAGAGTCTGGGTGCTTAAATAGGCCTCCTGTAGCCCAGATCTCTCACCAACTGAAATCATTTGGAGCATCAAGACAGAAAAAATGCTCAAGTAGTCCCAAGACTATTGAGCAGCCACAATAATACATCAGACAAGAATGAGATAACATTCCTCTCCCAAAAGTCCAGCACCCGGTCCCCTCAGTTTTCAGATGTTTATGGACTGTTCTTAAAAGAATGCCAAACAGTGGTAAACATGGCCCAGTCCCATCTTCTTGGAGGTGCGTTGCTGCCATCAAAATCAAAATGAGCCAATACTTTTCTAAGAACTTGTAGATTTTCTCAGTTCAAGTCTTTGATGTGTTTTATATGTTCTATACTTTGCTTAGTTGCATTTGTACTTTGGATTGTCTTTGGCACTATTTACAAAACACATCAGTGAATCCAGTAAAATTTTCTATCACCATCAGAATTTTGTTTGTTTCACTATTTCACTGTTTGGTGTTATACTTGTGCAGTAGCTTTTAAGAAGACGCATCATGGGAGGAGGATATACAGAAATGCAACAGAAAAAGACAAATAAAGACAATAAAGGACAAAACGGAGAATTATACAGGTTTTTAAAAGTGAAAAGCTTCTGATGCTGTTATTAATATGTACTGACACTAAAATGCAGCAGAATAAAACTAAAAGCTGTCTCAGACAGTTGTGTATTATTGGCAGCAGCGAATGATCATTGTCTTGACACTTCTAATTTCAATGACTAGAAATTGTGCAAACTAAAATCTGACTGCTGGATTTCCCCCCATAGGGAATTTTCTTCCACTTGTCCATTCTTTTTCCTGTAGTCTATTGATTTGCTTCTACATTTGAAATCATAACAATGCAGAGTGGAATGCACAGAACTTTTAACAGGCAGGAAGACAACTTTAGTAACTTGAAGAATTAGGCTAAGTGCTTCTGTATTGAAGTGAAACAATAAAACAATCCAAATTGTCTAAACTTTGGCCAAATGGGCATAGACGACCTGTATTGTTTCACACGCCAACTGGGCACAGACTGGTAGCTCGTTAGGAATGAAAACAACTGAACCACTAAAACACCAAACAGGTGTCTGTTTTTAGCCTGCTTTCATGCAGTAATCTTGTAAAGCATCAAATTTATCCTTCAAACTAGTTTAGAAGAACTTAATGCCTAGTGCTGAAAATGCCACTGCCTAAAAGGAGATCATGAAATCAGGTTTGGTACACCAATTATTTGCTCAATCATCAAAAACAACTCAGATGAATATTTTGATGTTGCTTTGATGTTTGTGCGAGTGGTGGAAACCATTATAAATCAGCCATGAAACTAAGATATGAGCCCTTTTCCTTTACTACATCAGAATTTTATAATATTCGTTTAATCTCGTTAATAGAGTGGATACATATTAAGAACTGTAGAACCCAAAAAACTGTGGCAACATGTTTTTGCCACAGAAAACTGAAGATACAGAAACTGAGACAAGTCATTGCACAGTTTACAAAAGGTAATGAAATCCTTCACGTCCTTAGGAAGTGCTATATGATGAACCTGCTCTCATATGATCTAGAAAACCTTTTTAAAGAACAATTAGCCAAAAGTGCCTGTTAGAATCCAAGATCAATATGTCATACTAAATACTGTTCCACTATGGCAGTAAAAATGCTTTACCAATGGGCCTAATGCAAAACCACAGAAATGCATTCATGAGTTTTCCACTTATCCTGAAATGTTGAGAATGGTGAATGCATGCAAAACAATATTAACCCACAAGGTTTTGCTGGTTTAAAGAAGATGAATAAGAATCATTAATTAACTGTCCTTATGATATACCATAACATACAATACAAATGATAAAAGTATATAAAAAAAATCTCTAGACCTGTGTAGTTTGCGCATATGCAGTAATATAAGAAAAAAAAGCTTAGCACTTACAAATCACTGAGTATTAAAGAAGACTTCACAGAATTGTTTTCAAGGATCATTTGTCTTGCAGTTGTAAAGTTTTTACTTCTCCATCGTTAACATCTCTCTTAAAAGATCAAAAATTATGCAAATTATAACGACTAGAAGACATGGGATAGATACCTTACATCACAAGTTCAGCTTGATGACAAAAAGACCTTTAGTAGCAACCCTGGCTCATCTTTACTCCCTTCCCCCAGCTGTGTCCTCTCCTCTACTCTTCCTACTCTGATACTCATCTCCCCCTCGTCCAGTCTTGCTTCCTTTTGCACAGTACACTCCTCTCAGGAAGTCAGAGGAGGGGAGGGCTTTAGGAAGGCACTCTTTCTTTTTCCATGCAGCAGAAGAGCATAGAAAGAAAAAGTAGGACTGTAAAAATGTTTGTTTTTAAAGGCTGGCAAGTGATCTAAAAAGGTTAACAAGCAAAAAGTAAATGAAAAAAACACGACCCCAAAACACATGGACGGCAATCAGGTTGTTTTAATAAGGACAAAGTTGTCCCTCAAGCATTTTATCTCATGTTTTGGAAAACAGGCTGGAGGACAGATGTTTTGAACGCAAATAGATACCGCAAGGCCGTTAACATTCATTTTAAGACTCTGTTTACAGTCACAAAAATATGTTTTAATTATAAAGCTCTATGATAAAATGAAAACAAGAACCGAATTAGAAACAATGTTCAATTTCTATACTTGTTACTTGTGAATACCACCAGAAATTGTTTTGCTGGATGTGAAGCGACACGAACGTAAAGGATTGCAGAGAGAAAAGTACTAGAATCTCAAATCATTATCCTTTATCCGCATCCAGGAAGCCGTGGCAAAGCACGAGTGGCAGACACAAAAGAAGAACAAAGGTCCAATGTAGTTATAATACTTTGTGGGTAGCAACATTTTTACAAGCGGTAAAATCAAATCAAAACGACAACTGTGTGGCATTGTTTGTAAATATCTCACTTTCTGCCCGTCATTGGCAAAAACCTGGGCCAGCCGCATGTCCAAAAGTCTGTTTTATGGGTCGTAACACACCAGACTCTTCTGTTAATGTAGTTAAAGTTATAGATTTTAAAGCCTAAAGATATCAGTCTGTGTGTAACCTATATAGCATTCGTGCATTGGAAAGGAATGACAAAAACATCTCTGAAAGGATCGTGGGAGTAAAAGCAAGCTTTCCAAAGTTATGATACAAAATTATGTCAGATGCTTGCATTTAATGCAGACACATGCAGGAAAGCATGCAAATAAATACTTGAATATAATCTTGTAGAAAAGCATAAACACTCCAAAGTGATGGAAGGTCCCGGGCCACCGAGTTCTTCCTTGCAGGACTATTGTTTACATGACTGGCCTTGTTTTAAATCTCAATGGCAAGCTGTCTCGTGTGCTTCCAATAGACTCCCTCCTTATTTGTACACCCTGTCTAAACCAGAAACAGAACCAGAGGTGTGATGCCAAAACATCTGGAACGTTCTGCTTTATATAGTAACTTTTTAAACTTCTTTTAGATAAACAACATGACTTTCTGACATGACAGTGCATGTTTCTGCCGGAAAAAGAAAATTTTTACAGACGTCTATGCAAAGTGTACGAAAACTATGTACACTTTATCACTCAGTAGCTTGTATGCAGCACTTTAAACATGTTGAGCATGTTGATCTGCTGCTGTGCCCTATTGCAATGATCAATGATGTTTAAGCTGTAGGACAGTTGGCCTCACATTTCACACCAGAAATATAAACAGGAGTCCATGGTGAATTACTGCAAGGTGCCCCACCAACATCATTCCTCATCTACCAGTCTGCTTGAAAGTTGGTGTGAGGTGTTTGTGCCGATATGCTGTGTTTGATTTTCACCATGATGCTGTGCATTTCAGTTAATTTTAGTTAATCTGTCTGTTAAGGGTTGTGCCACATTTTGTTTAACTGCTGCACCTGTACAGTATGTCCCATCTCATTCCCTCAGGTCAACAGACCAGATGCTTTTACTCATTCCTAGGTGACAAAGCTTTCGCACTTGTGGCTCCAAAACTGTGGAATCGTTTGCCATCGCTCCTTCACTTGCTGTTTTGAGATCTCGTTTAAAAACCACACTTTTACAGCCTTCAACCCAGCGTGCAAACTGTGAGTTCAAGTGATTTTTTATGTATTCTTTATTCTTTTTTTTTTTTTGCCTGTCCCGTTTGGCTCTTTTGCCATCAGAATTGTTGTCTAAAGGCAAAGAAAGATGCCCAACGGATTTACTTTACCAAATTGACCATCCCAGCCTTGCCGTAATGGTCCATTTGATTCACCTTTTATTGTTTATTTTATTTTCACTTACTGAATACGGGACAGACTTGACTGGGGGAAAGAAGGGGAGAAAGAAAGAGGGAAAGAGAAACAGCTGAGAAGAGGGACGGGGGAGAAGGGCAAACCAAAGACAAAAAAAAAAAAGAAAAAAGAAAAAAAATGCATATATCAATCACCTGGATCACCGGGTTGAGCTCCTTGGGGGGCTCAACCCGGGGTAGCGGTCATGTCCGGTTGGGGGCTCTCGGGTGACTGTTTCCTCGCGGCTGCGTGCAGCGGGGCTAGGGGAGGGTCTGTGCTGACGGACGTGGGTTACTGACCTGGTAGCCTGGCTGCCCCTGGGTGGGTCCGGGATGGGCGTGAGGTTCTGGGGGCGCTCCGTCTCTGGGCTGGGGCCCGGGCCGGGCCTCGGGGGCTTGGGTCCTGGTTGGTGTGTTGCCGGGGTTGTGGGCGGGTGGGTGCATGGGGGCCCAGCCCTGGAGCAGGGTGCCGCCGGTGCATCGAGCCACCTGGGGGGCTCTTCAACTGGTGGGGGAGATTGTCACATCTTGCAGGAGCTTTCCTCTCCTCAGGAGCTCCCTCTGCAGGAGGGGGAGATACAGGAGAGGTGGAGGAAGATCTCAGCCTGGGTGTTTATTGTCTTATGTAGTCTGGAAGATGAGTGGATGGTGGGGTGGGTGCAGTTTTCTCTGTGGTGGGGTTGGGTGGACTGTCCCGGGCTCTGTGGGGCCGGGAGGCGCTGCTGCACTGGGCCCCGGTCTGGATGGGCCTGGGCCCCCTTTCCCTGGCGGGTCGCGGAGTATGGGGGTGCCTACTGGGGTCAGCGGGGGAGCTGGCCCCAGGGAGGGGTCACTTGCCCCTCCCTTCCTTCCCTCCCCATCTCCAGCTGCCTCCCTCTTCCCGCTCCACCACAACCACCCACACATGCAGGGCCTTGGAGTAGGGGTATGTCACCAGGGTGCAGAGGAGGCTACCCCCCCTCTGTCCCCTTCTGGCTGCCTCTGCCTCAATTTTATCCCACAACTTAGACATTCACATTACTCACACTCTCATTACACATACATATAGGATCTTGGGGGTGGGCACGATACACGGAATCCAAATTACCATCAGGGTGTACACCTCACCCCTGGCGTCGTTGCCCACCTCTCAATTTTAAATACACGTAGACATTGAGGGCTAGCAGGAGGGACCATGCGCTTACCTGCTGCTCTCTGGCAGGTAGCTCCATGCCCTCCTGGGTTTTAAATGCACCTTAGAACACACATGCATCAACACTACAATGAGCGGGTGGAGGGAGGTTTGGAGTCTTCTCTCACCCCCATTCTCTGCGGCCTGCTGGAGCGGGGGGGCTAGGAGGAGGAGTTGGCCGTCCGACTGCGGTCTGGAGTGTGGGGCCTCCCTGCTGCTGCGGAGTCGGGGCGGTCTGCCTCCCCCCACCGCAGGGAAAAGGGTAACACCACCTGGGTCTGGGTGCAGTTCCCCCCTCCAGGGGCAAGGGTACCTAGACCCGGTTTGTAGAGTACGCTTGGGGAGTGTGATCGTGTGTACAGCGTCTCTTTATGTCTGTCTCCACGTTGGTTGAGTGTGGAGTAAGTGCATATGAGAGCATGAGGGTGGGAATGGATGTTTGTATCTGTGTGTGCCTGTATGTCTGTGTCTATATGTCAGGTTGGGTGTCAGGCGCCACCTCTCTGGGGACATCTCAGGCCCTCCAAGGTTTGGAGGCCTATCTCCCCCTACCACCACTTCCCCTGCCAGTGGCGGACTCCCTCAGACATCGGTGCGTTGGTGGTTCTTTGTGTCCGGGGATGGGCGTCCAGGTACACACCGGCTCACTCCTTGGCGGCCGCTTATCGGGGCCTGGAGCCTGGGGCTCGCTCGGGCCACTTCGGAGGTGGGGTGCCCCCGGCCTCTCGGCCTGGGGCTCGGTCACTCAGGCACGGCTGGCTGCCGGCGGAGCTCACGGGCGCGTCACTGCAACTCCCCCTGGCTTCTGCTCCGCGGCTGCTGAGTGAGCCCTCATCTGGGACTCTCCTCAGCTCTTTCTGGGACAGTGGCGCGGCTGCCCCTCTGTTGGTCTTCCTTGGTCTCTTGTGTTCTGGGGGCCTCTGGATGTCTGGAGTTTTGATCTCCTCCATACCTGCTTCATGCCCTGGAGGACGGGGCTGTGGCCCCCCCACACCCTCTAGCAGATCATTACATGAAGGAACCTTTTAAAAAACAAAAAACAAGCGCGTCCATGCTCACAGGTGTACACACGGGTGATCACACCCACAAACTACACCCTTTTTGGCTCCTACCTCAAAGCACACTGTGTTCTGTTGATCTTATGTGCTGCACAATAATGTTTAATATTTAGCATTTACTGTCATATTCCCATATATCATTGTGATGTTGTTTTATTACTCTTGTTCTCTTCTGTATTCTTTATTCTTTAACTTCTACAGCTCTTTGACCCTTTGGCCTGTGTTCGTCTCGTATGTTTTGGAGATTCCGTATTGGAATTTCAGGAGCAAGACCACGCGTCCAAACACACTTCTTCCGGTTGTCATTGACATACGTTCCCCTAATTTTGCAAGGTGTTCATTCTCGTTTACGTGCCCCACCCTCCTTCCTTGTTTCCAATTCTTTAACTTCTTCATTTCTATTTAGTGCATAGGGATCTGCCAGGCCCCTTCGAGGCCTTCCCCAAATCGCAACTCAATTCATGTCAAAGCATTACTTTTACCAACTGAAACACTGTCACAAATGAGGACGTGAGCCCACTGTATAGCTTACGTGGTTGCAGTGCTACCGGGATTTAAAAATAGTTATGCAAAATGGAGCGTGTCCGCTCCGACCGGCTCTAAAGGGTTAAAGGCAGACTACTTTAGGCCCGGAAATAGGATTCGTCACGTCATCACTTAAAGACCGGATAGGCTTATAAGGCCTTGAAGGTAAAAAAC